GGAGGATCACAAAATCCTGGGTAAAGCAGAGCATTTTCTGCCTGCTCAAACTAACCAACTTAAGAAACCAACCAAGCCACAGGAAAATCAAACACCACAAGCAGACCAGAGACTCCAACTAGAGACTGATTATGGACAGAAGGGAGATACAAGATCTTCTCATACCCCCCCCAAAAAAATCAAAGAACTCTTTTTTGTACCTTTTATAAAAAACTCTTTTTCCAAAAAAATTTTTTTTCAGGTAAGGGTTAGGTTTATTCATCGTTCTGGCACCAGGCCATCTGGGTCCTCCACGTGGTGGGGAAAGGCCTGGGAAAGAGAGCTCGGAGAGCTGGGAAAGAGAGAGAGCTGGGAAAGAGAGAGAAAAGACCTAGAAAAGAGAGAAAGGAGCTAGAAAAGAGCGCATCTGGGAAAGAGGTGGGAAAGAGCAAGCTAGGAAAGAGAAGAGAGCTAGGATAGAGAAGAGAAGGAAAGAGCTGAGAAAGAGCTAGAAAAGAGCAGAGAAAGGGCATCTGGGCTTGGGTTAGGCCTTATCTAGGATATGGGCAGAGAAAGGTGTGGCCACATCAAATTCAGATGTGACCTCAGTAGATGCAGATGTGACCTCTTCCAGGTGTCCCAGTTGCCTAGGTAATGCAGGTACTGGGTGGAGACTTGGCTGTGAGGAGGGTGGAGTCTGCTAGCCATCCAGGAGCGGACCTTACATTCTAGCCTTTTAATAATCATAAAATAGGGCACGGATTCTCTCTGGCTACTTCCTGCTGACAAGGGGCGTTGACAATAAGGGTAAAAGGCTGGAATTTGGTCCCCTCCCAGAGACGGCAGTGAGCAGCAGCTGTCCCTTGGTGGCGTGAATCCTTAGATGAAGTCTGGAGAAGTCTCATGAGCATTGAGGGGCTGGAAAAAAAAATATTAGAGAGCATTAAACGGCAAGAGGAAGGACTTGGGGCTGAAAATGTTGGTAGAAATGTCCCTAGCTACTTCTGACATCTGGCGACTAGGTAGACAAGTCAGGTGACAAAGGCAAGAATATAAATTCCTGTTCAGTTAATAGGTAGACAGGTATAGACATTGGATGGGCAGGCTTCGTGCTTCTACTGACCTCCTGGCTCTGGTTAATTTTGAAAGGGCAGGCACAAAGTAGCTGATGTGACATCATCTCCTCTTACTCCTGGCCATGTTCCCTTGTTCCCCAGACTAGCTAAGTCTAGGTGCTCGTTGCTGGGATGATTTGTCCCAGTTGGTATTCAAGGATTTAACTCAAGGCCTGGGCATTGTCCCTGAGCACTTCTGCTCAAGGCCAGCACTGAACCACTTTGAGTGATAGTACAAGTTGCAGTGTTTGCTGGTTTGGGATAAGAGTCTTGAGCCATGCTTCTAGCCTGGCTCTTTGCAGGTTAGTTGGGAGATGGAGTCTTAGGGATTTTTCAGCCCAGGTTGGCTTTGAACCAAAATCTTTGCCACAAAAGCCTTTATAATTTCCAATTAAAGCAACAAGGAGATCAAGTAGTATAAGTAGAGCTTACCTGGTTCTTATCAAGAATTGACCGACAAATATTCTGGAATGACAAACTTCTTAGATGTGAGAATCTTAGCACAGATATGCCCAATATTTTAGAGTCACATAATCAGTACCACAATACATAACACAAAACAAAAAAGGCAAAACTCAAAATCTAAAACTTTGACAACAATGTTTAGACGTCTTTGCTAACAAAGCACATCAGATGGTTGGGCCTGTTACCAGGGCCTGTGAAAAAAGCACCTTGTTAGCAAGGCATCTTAGAATAGATGGATGTAGTAGTAAGCTTGGTGGAAGGTTAAGGGTCAGATGAGGCCACCATGTGGCCAAGATGGCGAATTCAAGATGGCGAATTTCTGAAAAAATGTAAAGAAACCCTGAACAAATAGATCAAGCCTACATTGGCTAGCCTTTGAGAAGGAACCTGGGGGGGGGTCCCCGGGACCCAGCCTGCATCGCACTCTTCAGGGCACAAGCCAAAATGTAGAGAAGAGAAAGGAAGAGATAGGCAAAGTTGGACATGAATGGCAGAGAGAAAGCAAAGAAAGCCTGAAATTAAACAGACTTCTGACCATTTACCATTGCAGTAGCAAAAACTGTGTACATCTGAGAATGGCATAAAATTAGGCTCTCTGGGTTTCCAGGGAGCAGAGGAGGCATTTCAAAGGGGTTTCATGGCTCAGGCGTGATTTGCAGCACCCCATTAAATGAGTAGGAGAGTCAGTCTGGTGAGTGAAGGAGGGCTGACCAGGCAGAAGCGGCATCCCGACTTCCCCCAGAACCCTCTAGAGAGAAATGGCCAAGCCCCCAAAGCCAAGCATCCTCGGCTTCAGAGGTGACTGGCCTTTCAGGTAAAGGCCATAGGAGCTCTCTGGTGTGGTGCCACTTCTGGACAGAGACTGAGAAACAGAGAACCATAGATATTAGTTTTACTCACCAGAGTAGAGAAGTGGTGTGGACGTGGATGTGAAGGCCAGCAATGGTATCGATGCGCTGTGTCTGCAGCAGACAGACGGGTTTGCAAAAGGCCATCAGAACTGTGGGTATTCCTTAGAACAAAAAGGGAAGAACAAACAAAAAAGAAAAAAAAAAGAGGGAAAAAAAACAGAGAGGAATCCCACCTATCCTGACTTTAAGCTCTTTATCTGAGTCACGGCACGATTTATGTTAGGATTTTAAAAGAGATAGCTGGGTAAGAACAGTACCACGCACGTGGTATTCAGGTAAGGGGTAGGTTTATTCATTGTTCCTGCTGGCACCAGGCCATCTGGGTCCTCCATGTGATGGGGAAAGGCCTGGGAAAGAGACCTGGGAGAGCCGGGAAAGAGAGAGAGCTGGGAAAGAGAGATAAAAGACCTAGAAAAGAAAGGAGCTAGAAAAGAGAGCATCTGGGAAAGTAGTGGGAAAGAGCAAGCTATGAAAGAGAAGAGAGCTGGGAAAGAGAAGAGAAGGAAAGAGCAGAGAAAGAGCTAGAAAAGAGCAGAGAACACTAATTTTTTTTAAATTTTAAATATTTAACATTTTTTAAAAGTTTGTTTTCTATTAACTTTTTTTCTTCCTCATAATTTTTATTTTAGGGGTATAAGTGTGTGTGCTTTTATTTTTTCTTCTTTTTTCTTTTTTTTCTTTTTTTCTTTTTTAAAATTTATTTTGTTTAGCTCTGCTGACCTTTTGATTCTCTTTTTTTCTTTCCTTCTCATTCTTTTAACCTTTTCTTCTCTTTTGTTCTTCTTTGCATGACTTAATTGCTGTTCTGCTCATCCTCAGATATACCCATAGTCGATTATTAGA